CCCATGAGCTGAATAGCATTATAGGCAGTAAGGATCCCTCTCAAGCAATCCTTAAGGTAGTCGCAGACATTGATAGAAAGGTCTTCAGGGAAGGCTGATCGTCAGGTGAGTGGAAGAAAACAGAAGCGGCGCTTTTACCAGAAGGCAACGCTGGGTATAAATCCATGTGTTTAATTAGTACCATCGCCAAAGAGTTAAAAGTCATAATAGAAGAACGACTTTAGAAATCTACAGAAGAGTCTAAGTTGCTTTTGGAAATCCAGTATGAATTCAAAAAGCACTGAGCGATACGCACCGTTATCCAATGGATGATCCAAAAAATTAAACTGGTTCACACTAAGAACACGTGAAATCTTGCCAATAGGTCTTCCAGATGTACGAAATAATTCTGGATACCATAGTGAGGAAAAAATGCCCATATATCTAATCCGTACTTATCTCCAACTATCTACAGGACAAAAGTGTCACGAGCACAGAGACTTGAGCATGAAAATGAACGTCCCACAAAATTGCAGTCTGTGAAATGTAACATATGATGATGTCTTTTGCCTTTGTGGTCTCTCCCGAAGGGTAGGGAAAGTAGCGTATGCAAATGATTTGGCCACCACTTTTTAGGCGAAGTTGACGCTAGTAACGAAACCACATGCTAACGAAAATCTAAACGCTGTCTCGAAGTAAATGCTGAATTCAGGTTGAACTGACCTCAGAGAAAAGCGAAGGGGTCCTACTTACTGGAATTAAAAAGGTGAGTCTAATCAACCAGCGCCTGAATGGTGGACAAGTCAGGATGATAAACAGGATAAGATGTCTGGGTATGCGCTTGGACATATTACTCAGAGGCACACTGCATGTAAAGACGCCTACAACAAGAACAAATAGAACAGCGAACTCTATATCGAAAATGCTACCAAACATATACGGTCTGAGACGTGCGAGCCGTTGCAAACTGCCGATGTCTATCGCGGATATCAATAGCTCTTTTTCGGAGCGTCCGCATGAACGAAGAAAGTGGTAAACACGAAGTCGAGCAAAAAAATCCTCCGAAAGACAAAAAGGTTGGCTGTGTAACGCACCACACAAGCTTATGACACGGTTAGCACAGCTGCAGCGCTGATGATGGCTAAAACCCCACCAAAGGACTTAAAGGTCAAGGAGAAGAAACGATTGTAAGATAGCGAAGGTGGACTGTCGGAGATAAATGAAACGGAAAGGAATGCTACAATAGCAGGACAGCAGCACGAACGGGTGGTTACCTTTAGGGACACTCCGGGCCCAAATGACAGGAGTCTCATACCAAACATGCAGCAATGGTTAGATCGTCCAGGAGGAGAAATGAATCACTTTCTCACTACATTAATATCGGACATTGAAGATTTCAAACCGAACTTTTCAAAATCGGTAAAGCTTCCTCGGAAATATGCGTCTACTGTAACTTAGGTATAGAAAAGCACTCAACACAAACGTTATTGATGAGGCCTGCTCTTGAAGAGGTCAGGACAGCAACAAAAAAAAGATGGCAACAGAAAAAACTCACGGCCATGACCCAAAAGGTGCGGTCCTTTCTATGGACTAATTCTTAGATTTCATGTGCGGCTTCACAGGCGGTTGAGAAATAAGCTCGACCATAACCGCCGAAATCCAGAGGGAAAAAAAACGGTTCGGAAATTAAATAGAGCTAGACTTGGAACAGAAAACGCAAACGATGCGGCTACAAATATAGGTTCGCAGGTTATGGGAAATAGTGCGTCTGGGGGTGAAGGGGAACCCAGAGAGTGACCCTGACCAAATGATCCGGTAGCGATCTGCCATTGCTCCTATCGACCTGTAGTACTGTTAATTAATATCCGTGTCTGGGTGAGAAAGTAAAGGAAACTGTTTTAGTGAGCGCAAGGCCCGCAGTGCCAGGTCTGTCTGGTTTGGGTAAGTCATTAATTTCTAAGAAAAAGTGGATGCTGGGATGTCATTGTAAAATACATGTTATTGTATAAATCTCTGTTCGCCAGGCTGACTCAGTAGGGTTACCAAGTTTGAGCCATTACCAAACGGACTTCACATGTCTGTAGTGCGCTTAACAATTTCACAATAAGATTAAGTCTCTCTAATAACAAAGTAAGGATTTTAGGATCTTTTACATTATTTTAAATGCGTTTTACCAAGTAGTCACGTTTTGTAGTTTTAAGAGCTTTCAGCACGGTCTAATGTTATATAATATTTAATGCTTTATATATGACAAATACTAATATATTACACTGATCGTCGAGCGTTGTTATTCGAAGCTCACACAAAATGGAAATAAATCATTAATATGATTTTACAAACGACACTTTGGGTAAAAATGTTTCTTCCTGTTATCATTCAATGGATTAAACGACATTCTTAAACTTCACTAGTTTTTTTGCGGAAGTTCCGCACGTCTCTAAATCAGTTCGGTCAAGAACTGTGAATAGTTCAGTAACAGAAATGTTTTTAATTTGTATTAACCATCTGTAAGTGCGGGCATTTTATGCATTAAAAATAAACGATAATCGATGAAAAATATATATATATCTATAAGTACAGATCACAAGGTCATTAATCACTAAAAAAACCGCACAGCCAGCGTGCCGATATCAGCATTTGGTTACAGTGTTAGAACGACACCGAGATTAGAACATCGAATTCTTGTCGCTGCACGCGTACATTATAACGCTTATGTCAGAATACCGAATGGTTTTGATGGAGTTGATGCATAACAGAAACATGAAATTTTTTAGCTTTGTCGGGTTCATCCGGAGGCTCTTTAGAAAACAGACAACGGTTTGCGTTTATCATGAAGAACCTGTCGTGCAAACACTTTTTTACTTAGCTGAACTCGACTACAGTCAATGGTAAAATCAACAGCAAAGAATCCTGAGCTTTTAAATGTTTTGCTCACTTCTGGAATTCTAATAGCGATAGAGTGACAAAATTATTAAGCCAGTGCCATACTAATCACTGGTTATTAAGTTCTTAGCTGATTTTTGTTTTTACAGATTACTGAACAGATTATTGTTTCCAATTGTTTGCATATAAAAGAAAGCATAGAAAATATCTAGGTGCTTGTATACGATCATATCTCGAGTATTATTAATATTGGGCTTAAGTTTAAATGGATGTTCCGTATGTTCCAGAGGGCTGATGCTAGTAGTGAAGACCTGCTGCAAAATAGTGCACTAGACGCGGCGCCGTGGTTACACCGTCTTAAAATTTAAGTTAAGGAATAGACTTCCGCAAACTACTGTTTAAACGATCGTGCTTTTCTAATGCCTAATGTGGTAACACCGAGTGGAAATCGATAATATTAGTAATTTTTCACTACAATTTGTTCTCTAATATAATCCCTAATCCCTTTCGAATTTTCATTACATGATATAATGGCTGGAGCGTGTAGAGATCCAGAAGCTATTCGTGATAGCGAACGTGCCACAACGTCCCTCTGAGGAAAATATTAAAAACAACATCTATTAGAATTGTTTCATAACGTACTTTGCCAACATTTTTTGTAAAACTATTTTTAATTACTAAATTAAATACTAAATTTATTCCAAATAAGGCGTTGCGTGTATATTAGGTACATATGCACTTCATAGAATTTGGAAAGGGTAGTTATTTGCTGATGAGAAATAACTGGTTGTTGTCACAATACATCAGAAACACGGAGTCCATACCACTGGCGCTCAAACCTGCTGGTAGAACAATTCGTAAGAGATCTTTAAACCTCTCAGAACTTTCTTCCGGGTTTTAATGCATTTGTACAAGGTATACAAACGAGATGTAGACAGCAGAATCCATTAGGTCTGCACATGATGCCCTTTCGGCTTAGGTCTCAAAGAAAAAGGTTTAGTTTCCTCCATATGACTGACTTGAGAGTCAGACGCGAATTTAACGGTGGTTTACGAAGTGCAGTTATTTTTGGCAGAGGTTTGGTCTGGAAAATAATAAAAAACGCAAAGCGACGTATTTTTTAATCGTCCATCCAGAGAACTGATTGTTATTTACACACTGAAGTTCGAAATTAGGTAGGCCTGTGCTTTATAAGCTGGTAGTGACTCCTACGCATGTGCCACATTTTGATCATGTTTAAACGGAAATTGGCGCGTTTAGAAGAAAGTTTATTGGCACATAGTAATGTTTACGAATAACATACAGCTTTAGATAGACTCTTTCGAGGGACAGAGCAGTAATCAAAATATGTATGTCAATTATTAGTAACAAATTCAATTGCGTAATCGAGCTTAATCTGGACGTCGTTTCACATATTCATATTTGTAGGTGTGTTTAAATACTAGCTAGAGGATATCATTAAGCATTAAGAATGCTTGAACCAATGCCGAAAAGCGTAGCTTCGAGTTTGCACATGTGTAAGCTCAAGAAAAGTCTTCTACGATAATTCAGCTACCAACAAAGCTAAATTAAAAAAAAAAAAAAAAAAAAAAAGTTCACAGAAGTTTACTAAAACACATATTAGGGTATGTCTGGTTGTAAGTGTACCAAGGGATTTTTTTTAACTAATGCTTTTCGATAGAAAACGTTTTCGAGGTACGCAAACAGGAGTAGGCAACCGATGGTCAGTATTTGTATTAAACTGCTGTGGTTGCGCGCCTTTGTTGTAGGACACTAGGTCAAACTGGTGCGCACCATACGCGAGAACGCTGACATTACTAACACAATGCGCCGTCTCTAGAAGCGGAGCATTCAGACCCTGAACTGATTGCGCGACCAACCACAGTTCGTTTCCGGTGATCCCAATAAGGGCTCTAAGCCCGCCAAGTTTTCAAACCGGCATGCGACCTCACGATGTAGGAGGGGCCTCCTATTGACGACAGCGCCATCTATGAGTACTACCTGCTAGTGGACGGTAGTCCTCTCCACATCAATGAAGAAAGAGCGAAACAAGCGGCCGAAGAACGAATGAATTAGTTGGTATTGGCGTTTGCTGATTGTGTGTCCATTGGCGGGTAGACTGACAGGGTGAACAACCATCGGTTTCACGAGTTAAAATAACAGAAGAGAATCTATCGCACAGAATAAGGATATTTAGGTGTATAAGGAATATTAATTGGATTGCGGTGATACAGGATTAAACAAACGCAGTTATGTGCTTGTGGTTTGTGTACGCGTTTGCAAATTCATCTATCCCGCTACATGTTTACACGATCGTCTTGTAAAACTTGATTAGAATGACAACTTAAACAAGGATGCTACGACAAATATTGCTTTGAACAATGATCGAATTCATTAAAATCATCAGAATGTGATTGTCGTAGACTAGCGCTACGCCGCCTAACTGACCATCTCTTATTTGTACGAAATCTGTATACATCGTCCACTGTTGCTCCGAAACTTACATCCGCATTATTAATCGGACGCCTTAGAGAGACGATCTAATTCAGTACCAAAAAATAAGGAATATCGTATACAGAAAAATATATGAAGCGAAGCGATTTTTTGTATATAACCGTCCATTAAGGTGCGACAGTAACCGTTGATGAGAGCAAGGGCCTTCCCCAACTGAGCTAGTTCGGACTGTGTCATGTGCAGAATCACCGGAATACGTGTTTTACTGTCGCTTCTGAACGTAGTGACACGTTCTTATGACCATGGTAAAGATGACTTCTGAAGTACAGATCGCCATGACTCCGGATAAAATTAATTTAGGTGATGTCGCACCATCGCAATCACTCGACACGATCGAGTATGATTTGCTCACAAGGACTAGCTGGACTGATGCCAGTATCGCCTACGAAGAGATCAAACAGGTACGACTGGAGCTCAAGATCTAGGCAGCTGCATTTATAGCATGCATGCAAACACATGCGTCCATGCAAGTATTTGAAAGTCTCATTTGGATGCTGTTATCAGTGGGTAGCTAGCATCATTTTACTCAATGGAAATGCTCAAAATTACCTAAGGATTACATTTTTTAGCAAATCCGATTGGACAGTCGAAAATTGGAACGGACAACTCTGTTGTGCATTTATTTTTAGTGTATTGAACTAGCGCTTGAATTATACTGTTTTTCATTGTTGAAGTGCCTTCTAACATAGGCACGTTTGTTGAAATTCCGTTTCATCGCAGGTGACTGGACAAACATCAATGTTTTGTCGTGTTACTTGTTTTTACGGGTCTAACGAGATACTAGTGTAGGACAATTTGCTTCGTCACCTCCTAAAAACCCCGACAGGTTCCTTTTGCGACTTATATGGAACAATGATATCATTGTTAAATTATAACGTGCTTTTTCATTGCGTTTCGTTCATGGAGGGGTTGCGCGCTTTAATATTAAATTTATCTTGTATTATGTCAGCCCGCAATCACTTTTCTATTATAGTACTTATTAGTTTCTGCCTCGATAAGAAAAAAAATCATTGTACATATTAAAATCAATAGAAATGTGTTATTCAAGTGAGTTAAATGCAATAAAATGTAAAACAATTATGATTCCCAAATAATTCTTTCTAAAAAATAGATTCAGGATGTCTAGAGGCTTCAACAGCAACAATATGTCTCAACAAAAGAAATTCGACGAGACTAATTAATATTTGCAATTGTGTATAATTGCAGTCGGTATTTTGGAAACCTAAACACAATCAGTAGCAGTGATATATTGGAGACGATTTAATTAAATGCACTGAGTGGAAATAAAATTTAGTATTTGCAGCACGCTAAAGCTTTTAATGTCATTACGGCCCATCGCTTTCGAATATAAGACAGTTCCTACTACCATGCGTGCAGTGGTCCTGTATTTTGCTTTGTCACGTGTTGAGCGGCAAACAGCTGCATGCTTGATTTGTTATTATGTTAGAGGTGTTCTCCATCACATAAAGCCGTTTGCGGCCACATATTTTTTTTTATTAAGACAAAGGTTGTGGAAGGAAATCTACAGGTGTCGCTAATTGAATTCATTTTACTACGAGTATGAGCTTTTTCAATTGTCTGACTGTAATTTAATGATCTTGTATAGAATTAGATTCCCGCGATCGTTCTACTGTTATACGATAACTTTTATGGCTCCTTTGAGTATATAAAAGTACACCTTCTACTAATTCGTGCGGCAAAAAGCTGAGCATTTTTGTATCAGGTGTTTTTAAGAAGAGTGTTTGAACTTTCCTGTTGTTCGAACAGAACTGAATCTGGTTTTGGGCTTTAATACTTTCTAGATATATCAGTTACAGTTTTGTCCAAGAGATACATTATTCCTGCATACATATATATTCTTACTATGTATCATAATATAATAATATCATGAATAGTCAACATGACTGTTTCTTCTACTCAAGGCTCCTCGTCTTGAAAAACCTAACGACGAACCTGAAACGAACATGTCGAAGAAGTGGTTCCTATGCCGTAAAATTTTAATGTAGTATACTCGTTGATAATTGACTATGCTTAACTAGCATAAGCAGCACCAAACAGCATAATTATCACTTTTCCCAGGTTTATGTTGATTCTATCCGTATATAGCGCAAACATTTTCGCCACGAAATATCGCTTGGAGAAATTTTCCTGTTTAATTCTTATATTTAAAAGCCTGTCGAGATCTGCTTTAAGTAAACGTACTTCTGAATGGTATGATTTATATGTTTTGTACTAAAATTCGGAATACTGCTGCTTAAGTGGTAATATATTAATATTATCAATTAAGAACTTTACGAAGACCAGTATCAAGTTTAATGAAAAATTCATAAAAGAAATATTTAAGAGAAACAGTTTTATGTATACAAAATAGTCGTGTATGTGAGAAATACTTTAATGCTAGACTTTGAAATTCTTCTAATAATACTACATGTGGGCGAGTAAAACAGTTTCTCAAAATCATTACTTTTATTAGTAATAATAAAAAGTCAAGTAACGCATTTTTTGAATGTATAATCGAAGCATTTTTTATTAAAGAGAAACTTTCTGGATAAACAAGATAGTATTTGTTAGGTTTGTGTAGCAGCTTTAATTTTTCAAATATTAATGTTATCATTGGACTAAAGCTCGGGAGGCTTTGTCTTGCGTCTATTCGCTATGAGCCGTATCTTAATGTTGTTGTGTAGAGATAAGAAGCTATTTATATTTAAAATAAAAATAATGTCGAATGGCTACCAGCTATTTTCTAATAACCGTAAGCACAGTAATAATTGAAACAGTTTGATGCAACACACGTTGAGCACACTTATTCATGCGACAGAATTTTCATACTGATGACATACCACGTGGGCAGTGCTGGTGGTCGCCTTGGTGTTTCTGAATGGCGGTGCAGCGTTGTTCTCGGGAATCGAAAAGAAATTGCTTTGGTGTATGACCAAATTGACAGTCTCTACGTAGCTCCTTTAGAGGAAACGTATTTGCCCAATTGGCTCTATTTTCCGAACTGCTCTTTCCAGGGCGAAACAATACAGTCCGATGAAAAGTCAACGTTAAAAGGTAGATCTTGGACAAACAAACCCGCTACTCTGGACTTTTCGCAATTAGTAGATACACTGGTTATCGTTAAAAACATGATTTATGGATTTGTTTCTAAGTCTCACATTCGGTCCATTTAGTTTCTCGAAAATCTCGCGAAATTTTGGCTTACTATCAAGGATAACTCATTTTACACATATTAATCTCCTATTAACAAGCGAAACCGTTTATGAATTTTTGTTAATTCTTACTATGTTATGTTAAAATTAAAGTTACGAGATTTAGTAAAGATATAAATAGGGCTAGTGTCTGGTGATATTACATTTATGTTTATGGTACGGTAAAAATTGTGTTAGTGAGTTATATCATTTAGGCAACAGTGCATAACTAGATATGGGTTTTTAAAATCCCACTCTTAGCGCAGCGAAACACAGATATGGTTGCTGGGCTTCAAGGGGGTCCTTATGGGCGCTACATTACGACCGGGAGTAATGGCACTAAGAAGATAAAGAAGAAAATATGTTTGATAATGAAGCCATCTCAGAGCTGATCGGCAAGCAAAATCAGGGGCTAACTTGCGGAGCGGCAGGCAAACAGAAAAGTAGGGACACAGCGAAATCTTTCTATGACTTCATTTGATTGTAGCTCACAGCAGTCTTCCTTAGCCTAGGAACAACTAGATCAGACAAGTATGCGACTCTGTAGGTCTGGTAGATTCAGTAAAGCGTCCGTCCGGCAATATTCGTCGACGAAACGCCGCTGCCGGCCACTCTCTTTGCTGGTGCAATCGGGTGCTTTCCTAGTTCGCCTCTATTATACTCTCTGAGACCCGCTTGTTTTTGTACACTTGGACTCTAACATTAGCTACGATAGCTGGTACGCGTTGGCCGTAAATGGGATGATCGTTGTATATGCTCGCTGGCGTTCGTGATGGGTGGCCATTCCCAGAAGGGGCTTTCAGTCCTCCGCGAATAATAGCCAAGTTAGAGGCTCCAGCTTCTCGCTGTGACTACCTATCAGCCTGCCTCTACCCCCGAGAAGAAGCCAGCGATTCTAGATCCCTTGCTAGTACCGCCATCGTCGGGCTCAGCATCAGCTAGCATGGTGGGCAGATAGGTAGGCAGTCGAAGGCGACAATGGCGCGCAACATCTCCGTAGAGTCGGCAGCAGCATGAAACGACAGCATGGAGCGATCGTCGGTCGGTCGAGAGTACAAGACTGACTAACGACCCAGTAGCTTGCTGCTCTGCTGATGTTGCTGTTGGCGCCGTTTCAATCGATCCTAAAGAATCAGCAACTCCGCTGTCTTTTAAGCTTCACGCCGTAACATGACGGCAATAGCGTGGATAGGACAAAACGAAAAGGAACGAAACGAGCCAAATAGGCCAAATGGGCTAACGGATGACAAGATACTCCACATAGAGTATATTTCTATAGAGCACGACGTGCAACTATAGCTCAACACAAACCTGCCTTATGAAGATAGTTAGTGTAGTACCCGGGCTCACTGTATATTTCACACGTGTATTGGTCTAGACGAGTAACTACAAAGTCGTGATTTATTCCTGTTTTTATCCCTCAAAAAACCTCCATAATTTGACATGACCTTCAAGGTTGTAATCGAAGATATCGGGACAATGTATTGAATAACACTGTTAAGGAGTATTTAAGAAATCGAAAAATTCGAGATATATAATTAAGAAAGCTTTCCTTTTTAATTTAAAAAACAAGTTCGAAACTTTTCACTTATCCGGACATTTAAATTCATTACGAACACACGCATGAATACGTGAGTCTGTAAAATACACGGTGACTGAAAGAAAGAGAAGTCAAATGCCAGGTCAGATTACCGTTTATTAGAACTGAACAAATAAAAACAAAATACAACGAACTTATCAAATTTTTTTCATCTTTATCGTTAGCTTCTTTGTTGGCATGAGTGCGAAATATATTATTGAAGCGAAAATCTTTTGCTTCGGCAATTCACTCTTATTGGCTTTCCCAGATTATCGGTAAGCCAGTATAAATAATCTTGTTACTTCACAAGTGTAATATGCTCAACGAGAAACAGCTAGTAGTCGAAAGCGGTATTCGCCTGCGCACTCGAGTGTACAGAGGCACGCAATGTGAAACGCGACGACTGTATTTGATGAAGACATCAGCAGGCCACGGGCATCTGACAACTCAGCTGCGACAAAAAATGCCGATGGGCGCTATAGAGGGAAAGACCGAAAGCGCAGAATACTAGGGGCCCAGTTCGACAACAAGCGGCTAGGCATCAGCCAACAGCAAAGTACCCCTAAGAAAAACAACGTCAAACGTTGATGCGTTTTTTGCGTGAGCTTTGAGAGAAGAGACAGCCTAAAGATAAGCTAACCGGATACGTACGTCGGCTGGGAGGATATATAAATAACCTTATGCCAAAGGCCTGCAGAATGACATGGGTCAGCTACACAAAACGAATACATACGCGCGTATTAACAAATAATTTATCTTAACATTTAAATAACTCTAGTAGAATTCACTCTTAATTTATAAAAATCTGGCGGAGGTTACTGCAGTGATAAGACCAATTACTCTCTTAAGGAAAGCTTTTGTTAAAAATGACTGTTAGAGTACGCAGATTTGACCATAATATCAGGCTTGACCAAAATAGTGTCACTTTACTTTGGTTCTTGTTATCTATAATAGAATAAATATGTATAATATCCACATTGCTCCTGATATCACATTGTTAGAAATTCAATGGTTTAAAAAAATTATTGGATTTCAGAGTGCAGTGTCCTCATAGCCATGCATTATTAAAATAGAATCTGGACTGGCATTGGAAACTCTAACTTTTTATCGCATGATAACCGAATTTTCATAGCATGTCTCCCAAACTCTTAATATCTTTGATATTTGGTTATCAGATCTCACAGTAACTACATCTGAAAACTTATATGGGATTCAGGTTTATGGATCACAAAGTTACAATTTTTTGTATATTCCGAATGCAGGAACGGGCTAGGGGTAACCAGGCTTCGCTCTGGCTACGGAAGCACCTTCAAGTACATCTGTACGAAGTTGGGTGTGGTATCCAAAGGAATCCCGGCAAAATTCTTTTCGTAGGGCTGCTTATTCTCGCTATCTTCTGCGTTGGACTTAAATCCGTCCGGTACGAATACGAGCTCGAGAAACTCTGGATTGAAGGTAGGAATATAATCATTCTCTACAAGTGACGTAATCATTATTCGCATAAAAACTATAGTTAAATTAGGAAATATAATAAGAAAGTATCGATATTGGAAAACGACGAATAAAAATATAACAATATGTGATACATTAATTAACGATTCTTCGGAGTAAGGTCAATAATCAAAGGGTATCACAATACTAGTGTGAGTGTAACTACTTCTGCATTTATTACCGGCTTTTTGTGCGCATACTCCATTAACAAATTTACTGTTAGTCAAAAGAAGGATAAGAAGGTGCCTTGGAATGGGGGATTAGTAACTTGAGTTTTGCTGTAAATATTTTAACTAGCAGCATAAACCCACGTAAGGTATAGCCAAACAGGCTCTAAAATTTTGTTCTATCTTGGCATACATGAACTCATCTACATGAGCTTATAACTTAACACGTAGTGGGTTTTTTGAAGGAAAACAGGCAGGATTTAACGTCGGTTAAACGTCGCATATTTTTGCACTTTGTAGCTGGTAACATTTGAATAAATCATATTGATAATTATTGTGAGACGATTGTTGTCGTATACTAGAGAACTATACGTATTTAGTATTGTGATGTCTAGTCAAACGTTTGAAATTGCGTGTATTAAATTTTTGTTCGGTATTCGCTAGTTGAGCGCACCTGCATTATATATGTGTAGAAAATCTGTTACGGCCACTAGTTTACCTAATTATTCTAAACTACCGAGCCCACACTTGTTATATAAAATAGTTTGTATATGATATTACATAAACATGAAAGGTTTCTCAGAAAAAGGCTCATATCAATTTTTAATTAAATATGCTTTCTGTTGTCTAAGGCAAGAGGACAGCAAATGGGACTTAAAGCAAATTCAGAGGATTCTATACAAAAGATTTTAAGTGTCATAAAGGAAGGAATTCTAGCCTAAATGTGTAAGTCAAAATTAAAAGCAATTTAAGTCCTGCACAAATAGTCGTTGGGGAGTCTTTATTTTATATCAATCTAAATAGCAGAAAACATGTAAATTATTGCAATAAAGAGCTGATCGTGTAACACATCTTTAACAGACGCATCCTAATACTAATTCTATATTACTACGATACTGTGTTACGAAGGTGCCAAAGTGTAATATTATAAGTGTGTATGTTGAAAGTGCAATAGACGAACGTTTAGCCGTTTAACTGATAATTCTTTATGATATCGCTTGAAAATTTCACATGGGTATTTAACATCTTTCGTTTTTTTTTTATATTTCCAAATCTAAGGCTAACAAGTCCTAAAACTGTTTCTCTAGGTACAGCTTCTTGCCAATCATATCATATACAATGTATTAGGTCAGATAATCTCTTATTGCGACGTAGTTCGGAAGACAGAGCTCCTAGTTATATGAGTGGACCTCAATTCTGTTAATCTGATGTTAATAAGATCATTCGAATAACCACAATTATCATTGTTGTAGCTATTGTATTTTAAACATATAATAACGCTATTTCACAATAACCTACTATTATATAAACATAGAAATAGGACTAGGGTGTTACTGTGCAATCAATACTATGCAATTGAATCTAGATTGCAATATTGTGCATATTTCCTGTTTCCTTAATAGATGTGAAATGAAGACCCTCCAACGGTCCAAGAACTTTTTTCGAACCGACCAGTGAGGTCTGCCTCACGTTGTATGTATAACAGTAATGTATTTACTGCGCCACTTATTCCTATACAATAATGCCCAGGGCTGAAATATTCGTATTACAAGGTTGTAAGCCATTTTTGCATGGTCCACGTGTTTGAAATCTTGGATTTCATACATAAGTTATAAATATGTTAACGTGTGAAATCGTTAGCATTATGCGAAGCGCAGCAACTGGCACACGCAAAGAAAACTGCTACTAATATACCAATAATTCCGAAGCAATATATATGGAGGCAGCGTGGTATGGTTTCATAACACTGAAATTGCGGGTACTACAATGCTTCAGTAGCAATGCGATTGTCCACTAGACACAGCGACCTGTAGATTTTAGAACAGACACGTTTATTTTAAACGTCGGCCGTCCGAAATAATCACAGGATTTCACGCATAAAGCTCGCAACATTTATTTAGAAAAGAGCACATTTAGAATGATACGATAGAGCATGTTCGTATGCAAACAGAAAAATGTTTTTGACAGGTGTCATGCGCATTGCTGTAATATAATAATATATATGTAAGATAATATATTTATAGGCGTGAAACAAGTTTTGCTTTCATTAACACTTTATTTTTGCAACAATTTGCAAACGTTTAAATAAATGCATATTTTCTGAACTCACAATCTCCGTTCCTTCTGCTTTAAAATTGCACTTTTTAGGAAGCGTAGACATCACAACTATGGTTTTGGTACCGACCGATCGAACAGTCCTTTGCCCATATGTTGCAAGAAAACTGAATTCTTTCGAATAACCTTACCCATTTTGCATAAACAAAACAATCTAAATGTTATCAAATATGTAAAATATTTGAGTTACATTAGCGTTATTTAGGGCCCAACTAATCTCATCTTTGTTCGGCCTAAAAGCCCACGCTCTATCTGACAGTGTGATCAGTGACTACAGTTTATTTCTATGGTGGTTTGCAATGTGCGCTGGAAAAATGAAGCGTTCGCAGAAAGCAGGTCTTACTGTATTAGCGTATTAAGGCATAGTCGTTTAAATACCGAACAATTCTTGTGTTAAAATCGAATTCTTGAGTTAAAATCGTATTAGCGTGCTTCTTCATTTAAATAAATTCTTTATGTTGCCTCTAAGCGAAAAGCGTAGGTGTGTGAACGTATTTATGTAGTTGCTGGTAGCATTAATTGGCGGCTGCTATCACAGTTTAGGTGATATTATTTGCCTTAATAACATTGGTCTAAGCGGGTAGGTATATTTATTGAGGTATATTTATATGTAGACTAGGGTTTGTGGATAACGACTACTTGTTTGTCATTTTTTTATTGTTTGGCTGAAAGGATAGTTAGAAACGTGCAGACTGCGAATCGAGTTCGCTTTAAAGTCAGTCCTTACGTGGTAAGTACTAGTAATCGAGACGCGAACCTAGCTTTCACCAAATGCATTACTTTAGTTAATATGGAGTTTGCTCAAAAAATGTTATTTCTACTTTCTCAGTTTTAGGTCCATCGTAACGTAAACTTTTGATCTCACTTGCCAATTTTATGTAATCAAATGCTCTGTATTAAATTCCAGTATCACACGTTACAGCGCGATCGGCTCCGTTCTGTACTTTATAAATTTGCGTAGATATTAAGTTTGAGGTTTTACCAAACCAAAATAGATGACTATATTGTATTTACACATAATAAGCGTGTGTGTACGTTGATCAAACACGATCGCTGGGAACGAGAGTATAATAAATAATAGTTAATGTCACAGTTAGCTTCATCTAGAGTTCAAAGCCAACGAGCGCCTTCATAAGGAATCCAATACCATAAAATGATGTAATTCTATATATGTATAGATTCAGCGGCTAAATATACGATTGTCGAGCTGACATTGGCTGACACAGCTTGTAGTGCTTGCAAAATTAACGAATAAGTTTTGTCATAATGAACAAGAAGCATGGGCTTTGAATACAGTTATGTATGTCTTAAAAGAAGGTTTAATTAGACGCAATGCGTTGTTACCGTATGTGACACCCAATAGAAAGCGTTGCGGGTAATATCAAAAGAAGAGCATGCACAGTTTTCGTAGCTTGTGTTCCTTAGGGATTCTCGTTCATAAGAATTCATCGGAATCGAGCATCAGACCATTGGGCGCTGAAGTCACTATATGCTAAATGATGGCTTTGGTGAACGGGAGGCGGTCCGTGGTCGACGTCAGGAGAGATGAGGGGCCCCCGGAATGAAGACATCTTCGTCTAAGACAGCAGAGCCGATAAGAAGACGTAAGAAAGCGAGACTGCGTGACTGACGGTTGCTCATATGCATAGACTGACAGACCATCGGACCGGCAGGCTCGCGTTTGGCCGAAACCGCCCGACAAGAGGGAACTGACACGGTTCATAAGAATCAGAACGGACAAGTGTAATAGGAGCAGTTGACGATGAAAATAAGTTGTCGTCCAAGTTTTGGTTCTGAAACGCTGAAAGACTGACGAGACGCATTGAGGTGATCGCATGGATACTGAGTCTCTTGGTTGCAAAGTGAAAATACTAGAACAATGGTCGCAAATGCTTCTGAGAGCAGTGCTATGCATTATCAGTCTTATGCAGAAATGCGGTTCTCATTCAAATATATATAATAAACATATAGAGCGTCCAAAGTTTATTGTTAATGATAATCACTGTTACGGTAATTTGACCTTATTTGATGCTGATAAATAAGTTGTAATGTATTGCGTTTGTGAAGAAGGTTGTGACATTTTTCAGGACACTTGGCCTGTAATTTCTTTAACGGAGCTTAAATCGTCACAATTTTCACTGTGGCTCCGCATGTCCTATGCTCCTACATCCAGGGCCGATCTCACCACTAAGGGTTTTATCACGTGCTGCAGTTGCTGCGGTCTGCTCCGTTATGTACACCCAGCTTTTATAGTTTGCCGATAGTAGATTCAGTAAAAGCAGCCTTCTGAAGAGGCATCAGTAGACCAATAATCTTTTCGCTTGATTCTGCCGACAGTGTATTCTATATATTTGGACGTGCAACTTTCTATTTTTAAGTGCAAAGACTTAGAGGTTCTTTAACCCGAAAGGAATAGAAACAACGACGATAAGTAGAGATATAGAAACTAGACAGGATCCAGTAAATAAGCATAACACAGAGATAGATGAACCTAATATGACGATTATTTGCCGTCCATTGTGCAGTTAGTCAGTTGTCCTTCTTCATGTATCTACTAGTTATTTAGCTGCCAGGTAACCAACGTTTATTTTAATCTTAACGTTTCAGAGGGGGGCCGAGTTACTCGCGAATTGGAGTACATACGAACTAAGCTTGGGGTGTCGGCTGCAGACAGCCAACAAATTATTATTCAAAGTTCAAGCCCAGATATAAGTGCTAACATTCTACGTTATGAGGCGCTTCTGACTCACGTAGATCTTTTGAGGGAAGCCCTTCAAATAGAAGTCGACGTGTTCGGACAGTAAGTGTTTATTGTTTAGATTGCTTTAAGAATGTTTTTTTTAATATAATGGCAAGCAATAGTTCAGATCCATTGCACACTTGAGTTATTGTTTAAAAACAACTTCAAACCCTAACTAAGAATTAAGTAATCCGCAAAGAAAGCACTAAAGATCGCCCAAATTCGAGACCATATTTAAGATAATTAGAATTTGAGGTTAACAAACTTCACAGCTACTATTACGCATTTACTGTGTCGATGCATGAGCAATCTCCGATGTCGAAGTATGCTGTAGAGTAAGATCCTTTAGCTTTAATTAGGCGTAGCTTTAAATGACGTTTAAACTCTAGTTTACATCGGTGATGGATATTGTAAGACGACGTGCCATTACTAGGACACTAAGAAATTGATTTATAGCTATTCTATATGCTAAAATTACATTTTATTACATAACCTTTTGCAGGTCCTGGAGTCTGCAAGACTTATGCATAAAAGCGAGTGTTCCAGCCTTTAATCACCACTTCATAGATCAGATATTTGAAAATATCATGCCATGCATAATAGAAACCCCGTTAGACTGCTTCTGGGAGGGTTCGAAACTACTCAGCCCATGGTATCCCCTAACAATTGAAACATTTGGCATTCAAAACCTCACCTGGCTCAATCTGAATCCAACGAGGCTAATGAAAACAATGATTAAGACCTTGGGTACTACTGATTTTCCCTTTGAATCTATGGAGAATTTTATGGCTCGTTCGGGTATTACCACGGCGTATCAAAAACGGCCATGTCTTAACCCAGACGATCCAGAATGTCCTGAAACGGCTCCAAATAAGAAATCTCGCATTTTACCCGACATTGGTGCCGCATTAACCGGAGGTTGTTATGGCTTTGCTACTACTGATGGCATGCACTGGCCTGAATCACTTATTGTCGGCGGCATCCAAAAAAATCGATCTGGTTTAATAACGCGTGCAGGCGCACTCCAAACTATTATACAACTTATGGACGATAAAACAATGTTCGATTTTCATGATGGCAGGTATAACTTGCATAATGCTGACTGGAGCATAGAGAAAGCTCGCGAAGTCATCGTAGCATGGCAAAATAAATTCACGAATGAAATTAAGCGGCTTTCCAAACTGGCAAGGTATCAGCAACAATGTTCTAATGTATTTACGTTAAATACACTTACCAACGTATTGCGTAAATCCACTACACCTGATATAGAACTATTGCTTATTGGAGCAGCCCTTGTTCTCATCTATGTATCCATAGCACTGGTCAACCTGGAACGGCCAGAGCTATCGCAGGGCTTGACCGGATTCGTCGGCGTCCTCTTGCTTGCCTTAAGTATTACGGCCGCTTTTGGTTTGTGCGCCATGCTCGGGCTTCCGTTCAACGCTACTACGACGCAAGTGCTGCCCTTTTTGGGGCTTGGGCTTGGATGCAACAGCATATTCATGCTAACGCATACTCTTAACAAAATCGTTTCCAGTGGATCGGTGACTATCGAGGTGAGTGGCTAAGCTTTTTGTTTTGTATTATTTGTTCTCTAGTTAGATATGTGTTAATATATATATGCGTGTTCGTTTGTTCTGTCAACGTCTATATTACTGCTTTGTTGAATCAATACACGGAAAACGGGAGGAGCATGGCAAAGGTTAAGATCAATCGAGTACTGACAGCGCTAAAATGCAACAGCGTTATTTCGAACTGTGTACAGAAAATATTTTATCCTACTGGTTATATTTGCGCCGCATAGAACCGGGCAGGTAAAGTCAGTAAAAGATTGCCATATTGCAAGTTAATGGGTCTAATTTACACCCAGGAGCCCCACTGTAGCCAACAGGCACGACTATAGCTGTCTAAATTCGAAGCAGTCGTTTGGTTAGCACGATCACTCTTACTCAGTGTAATCCATTTAATCAGTAAGTCATGCTTACGCGCCTTTTATATTGCGTTTATCTGTGACACAAAAACCTCCATATACGTCCAAATGCGGTATTTATTTAATTTGAGAAATCATTTCAGTGGTTTCGATTATATGACGCAGTCTATAGGAATAGTGTCATTAGGGCAATCAATTAAAAAAAAATTTTAGCAAATAGAATTTAAACTACACAAACGAAGTATTCTCTAGCATCCGCCGGCTTTATTTAAGGTAGTTCAATCAATTATCCGAATGGGTTTAAGACACCCTCAATAATTTATAATACTTCGCAGTACCCAGTTCTAATAGTGTGGTCAGAGAACTATTTTCGAGGGCATCTTTACTGAACGCGCATTCAATTATATTATAATAAATAAAAGAATATCATTTTAATGCTGAAGTTTCTTTATACAAAGATTCTGCAGTAAGTCTACTGCACATTTACTGATGAATAATAAAAATACTTTGAAATTATGAATGAGGTTATATAGTTGCATAGAGAAATTAAGCTTCACATTGACTACACTGTGTAATAATCTTATAGGAAAAATACGTTTAACTAAAAGTAGTCAAGTAAGCTCAAATAGGTATGTACGAAATGCGTCCATGCAACTCGTGAGTTGCGATTTAATATGTAAGCTGTCCCAATTTCTTTTATACTAAGAGAAAAAGGGGAGAACCAGTGGATTCAATGAAGCCACTTCTATCAGTGCTGTCGCATTCTTATAGTTTTTTCTTAGTTCAGTAATTTTTCTCCCTGGATCTAAGGTCCCATTCTGGGTAAAGTTTGCCAGTTTCTCGCAATTTTGTGCCTTTGAATTACTTAGCAGTACTCTTGAAGCGCGCTAACGACAGCTTGCATAGATTAAAATTCATCGATTTAACTATGTTTACTTAAAAAAAATGTGTGATGTTTTGTTCGTTTTCTAGAAAATCGCTTAGTTGCGGGCATACGCAAAAGCTTAAAATTAAAACCATATATATGGTCCTGAATAATCTTTGCTTAAGTTGTTGCAAGTTAAACAAATTAATCTCAAATGGAGGAGACGAAATAAACTCTGTCTTCCGCTTTGTTATAATATTCCTATTATTCGTACCACATGTATCATTCAAAAAGAGTTGCCTTCTCGTAACCTTCTCTTGAATCACAGTCAAGCTTCTTCAGAATACGCCTACATGCTTGGATAGCAGTAATTAGTTTCCCTTGGAACCGACGCGATCATTCGCTGGTTAAACACAGATATGCAACATAATGAGAATCAGTTAGGTCTGCTGGTTTGATGTATATATATGAATATAGACTATCAGCATATGCGTTTCTTATCGCGCCTCTTATGCGCTCTGAAATATATTGTTAGTAGCACATCTACCACATACCAAAACCACTAATATTAAATTAAAGGCTTCTTTATATAATATATATTTACCACTTTAAGTGATTTTGTAGTTCAAGCAGTATATAGATTAGCTTCTTAGATGTTGAAGAATTGTGATTTGAACTCAAGACGTCCAAATGTCCTATACGACGACAGACTAGCCTAGTTAATGTTATAGGAAGTACATCTTGTTGCCGGAAATACTATGTCTACGGACTAGCTGTCTCATTAATTTTAGTTGTACCTGTTTTGGGGGTGAAATGATTGAGCCTAAAAGCAGTACAGGATTTTGGGAATTACAAGGTCTTGTAACAGTTGAGTATAGTGTTGAACCTTGAGACACAAACACTTACTAGTGAAGCATTCTAATCTGACGTTATTCCAGTTGTAGAAAATACGCTTTGCGTCGTATACATGAACGTTCTATCTTAATGTCATTGCAACGTTGGAATACCTAAATGATTGGTCATGAAGTAGTCTTCCCTACGGTGCTGTAGCTGCACACTTTGGTACCGAGGCTGCTTTAACAGCACCAGTCGAATTGTATGTAATTAATCGCGGCTCGTAAAATATGGATACCCAGCGAATTTAGAACAGGTGCATACACTTTCAAGTCATCTGCTAAGGGTTTATAAACTATGCTGCTCGGAATGTGGTTCTGCAGATAATGAGCAAAGCTTTTAAAAGGTGTGGCGCCAAGAAAAGACCCTAAAGGAGCTTCACACCTGTAAGCAGCTAGAAAGGAGAATTATTTGTATTTAATCCCTCTTTTTAAATAGTTTTTAATCCAAGCAATTTTTCCATCTGCAGTTTCTTAATCTTTTTGACCATAGAACGTAGTTGACTCTGTTAACCCCATGCGAAAAACCGAAATATGTACTACGGGGCGAAATGGTTCTGTTCAATCTTGTCGTGTTTCTGCTGTCGTTGAAGATACACCTTTTGTAAACTTGTATCCGTTGTCCTCAAGATGAAATTTCATGACATGATTACGCAAGTGATACATGATAATTTTCTCCAACAGTTTTAAAACAGAATATAAAAAGACTTCTACCCTCTCTAAACATATGCGTAACCTTATGTAAACACATCGAAGGAAAACCGGAATATTTCTACGCTAGTACAATTGGCAGAAATGTTGTATATTTTGCTTATATGATTTAACAAATCATAGAAGACACTAAAGGGAATATGCAAGGTGATATTATTGAAAATTGAGACCATGGTGGTTTGTACCGGAACAGTTTATACGACAAAAACAGAATAAACTGATATGTACGATAATCACAATTTTATCATTGACCATAGCATTTTTTAGGAGTCTGCTTCAAAAACACATGTACGTGCATCGTTTCTTTTGTTGTGCGTCTTTTGTTTCAGAGACAAACTGGAGAGTGTCTAAAACGAACGGGCGTTAGCATCATTCTCTCGAATGCCTCCTTGATACTTGCTTTTTTCTTGGCAGCGTGGCTAATTCCAATCCCGGCCTTGCGGTATTTTTCGCTACAAGCAGCGATTTTGTTCTTGTGCTCCTTGACAGCCACCTTGTTTCTCTTCCCAGCTGTATTCAGTCTCGACCTTCGTCGACGAGCTGCGAGACGTCTTGACCTCTTCTGCTGTGTAGTGAAGAATGACGATGTACAGAAACGGTCGAAAGGCCCGTTTGCCACTGAAATGGAACAGCAAGCAAGATATATGAATGATGAGTTGTTCGTCAAACCAGTAGCTATTATTTTGACAGATGAAAATCAGGATAACGAACTTCGGTTCAAAAGACAACGGGGCATAGATGACGGTTGCTTTGGTTGGTCCCTGTCACTTACGGCTGCGGAGTACTATGTTCCGTTAATTCGTAGGCCAGTCGTGCGTGCTCTGGTTCTACTATCTTTCATTAGTCTTGCTACATTCGGATTATGGGGCTCAATGCGTCTTGAAGATGGTTTAGAACTGAGCGGTCTCGTCCCGAAAAGTAGCAACGAGTACGAATATATGCGGCACCAACAGCGCTTTTTTGGAGTGTATCGCATTTTTGCCATAACGCAGGCCAACTTCGAATACCCAACGAACCAACGACTTCTATACGAGTACCACGATGCCTTTACAAGAGTTGAAAAGATTGTAAAAAACGATGACGGTGGCTTACCCGGATTCTGGCTCTCCCACTTCAGAGACTGGCTTCTCGGTATGTTTTCATTTGGATTGTTACTAGAAGAGTATTTAGGTACGCTGACTTAATGAGCATTCCTTTTTGTGTATTTTGCGTATACAATGCTGCATATTACTTTGCGTTTTGCAAACTTTGTTTCAAGAAGTTCGCCAAAATCACAATTTTTTCAATGAATTTAAGATCCACTTTCCTGGAAACGGAAATGTGCTCGAGGTAAATCAATAATACTTACAAAAACTTCGTATTAATACTGTTTCAGGTTGTTCAAAGTTTTTTGGACAACTTTAACAATGTTCAAACCATATAAAATAGAGTAAGGGTAATTTGGTATATATTAGATATACGCTCCTACGTTGATTGTACATTGAAGTCAACACCCCGGGAGCTTCTCAATAGCTGCGCGCTTGCGATATGCATTGACAGGCTTAATTTTGTTATCGATGATGCTCTTTAGGAATTTAAAATATCTAACAGCACTAGCAGTGTCCTTTGTGTTATAATTGTTGTTGTTATAACCGTTGTTAATATTTCATAATAACAAATGTCCCAGATATTCCCCGTGAATGTACGTATCAGATGACGCTTGAATCTATCCGGAATCGCCATCAGGGTCGCTTTTTTTCTATTGGACGACACTCTCTCGCTTGACCCTTTTTTGGTGAGCAGCTCAGTTTCGTCTATGGCCGCACTGCGCTCTAAGCCTCTTTGCTGATAATAGCTGCGATATGATCTTCAAAGAGCCCTATGTCTCCATTGGCTCTGGATTCAGTTCATAAGCCATATTTCGTTTTCTCTTCTCCGACTCTAGTGGTTTCGTTACAATTGCATCTAATGTGTTTTAAAAAATCCGTTACTAAACCAATCAAGCTCTGTTTTGCTCAAAAGCTTTCGTCATTACAGCAATTTATTCTTCTATTTGAAGTTTCGAAGTGTGATCTTTTGTACACCTTTATCCACTTTCGTCCGATTTGGCTAGGCTGATGTGTCAATTTAATTTACTCTACAATCCATAAGGAGGAAAACGTTATATGGAAGAAACACTTCAAACTTAATAAAAATATTAAAGCGAAATGAATTTGGCGAAGTAAATTGTGCGTATATTGCAAAAATAATAGTCGAGAGGGTGAGCTACTTATACCCAACGGAAGTTAAAAACATTTTATTGTTCATTTTAAGGAAATATGCCGTGTCACGATCGGCTGCCTCTAACCATGTTAACCTTAAGACTTAGCCATCCGAGCTACGGATAGATATATAGTATGATAATTCTTACTTTGTAGAGGAAGTCTGTGGGAAAAGGTATAAAAAATGCTCATGAGATCTAAGGTTATATGGTTGTAATGAATAAAATATTCAGCGCTTTTGTATTTCGATAATAACAAGACGCCTTACATGACTGAAAGTTAGGGTCCACTTGTGATGTCTCTTCATTAACTCGTTTTTGAAGAAGCTCTTGTGTGAATGGGTAAGAATAACTTAAGGCGCTAAGTGAATAGAAAGGACCATCAATAATACTGAAGTCCGATGTTCTCTATTCGGTTCTTATAAAAAGGCCTACTATGAGTGTGTGCATGTATATCATAACAAATTTACAATTATGAAAAGTATTGCATTACATTCTAACATTCCTTTTTGTTTTTCATAGAGTGTAGCCATCCTGTTTTGTTTCGTACTCTAAATTCATTAGCTTCATTTGTTAACAGCTTTTTGAGTGCATGGGCACTCGTTTGCAGGTGCGTCTTCTTATGTCTTTCTAAATTGACCCGATCACATCTTGCGGGGAAGCTAAATTTGCGGAGTATAATATTTTTCATGTCTTTTTCAGCTGCTAAATTATAAACCTTTGTCCTAATAACAAACTTAATAGAGTCTCGTATAACGCCTTCTTCACCCAGAAGCTGGATACAGAAAATTTCGCCATCAAAAATTGTATGGATGATCAGCACCGTAAAAAGTGTCGGCCTATTGTTCTTTGTACTATTGTACTACGTCTAAGCTATTCGATGTATGCACGTCTATTGATAGCTGTAGCTTACAGTGCTATGGGCACTTTATAATGCGTTTGCTTCTACAAACGTACTCAAATTCTGTAAGCACAGTTCTATTCACCTAAATGTGTGCCAAAAATATGATGTGACTCCAAACTACATTTTGGGTACAGGGGAACCTTCGTTACATTATTATCATGCCGCAGTATAGTACCGCAGGCACCTATTACTAATGACTTATCATATTAATTTAAAAGCTGTTTCAGTGAATATTAAACTACTATAAAAGCACTTACTGATAATTGTTGTGACGAATCTTCCACCAGTCGTTCAGAAAGGATCTATTTACGCAGTAACTGTGAGGTAAAACAAAATGATACTGCTAGCGTCATAACCGCTTATTCAAGACAATTCAAGTACATTGAACGCATGTTTATGTATGCTGTGAAAGGTAATTCAAAACGAACGCATTTTTGGGCTGCATGGTTTCCTGGACCACATTTGCCACTTTACAGCGGAGCTTGTAGCCAAGTTTTCGGATTATCCAGGGTTACAACGAAAATAACTAGTTACTTTAGAATTGTGTTGATATAAACAGATATTTCATGCATACAGTCTAAATGTGAGCTAAATGGGACTTTTAGCCGATTTTTTATGAATTTTTAAACAAACATGATCTTTACGATGTTCAGTTAATTATTCTTCCGATAACTCGTATTAGAGTCAACATCGTATTAAGTGCTGAGAAAATAATACACAACAAAGGGCTAACTGGTTAACAAAACTTAGTCTGCCAGATGTATAGCGACTCTTGAGAAAGCACTAAACCTTACCGTTGTTATGAGGAGCCTTCAACAATATTTGCGAATAAAAGCGTGTTAAAAAATTAAGAAACGCATGTCAGCTAATACAGCTTATTTTTCTAATTTTATTATAAAATTGCCAAAAGGTAATTAAGAATTTTGGAACGTCTGTATCTGGTAAGAAGAAGATCGTTTTATAAGTTTCTTAGTAGACTAATGCGCGAGCTCACACTTTCAGGCCATATCAATTTTTGCTAAGCCTTACAACCCACGCCTTCGCAATGTGACTTCGGAAATAAAAATATAATAATTTGAAGCATCAAATATCCTTCGCTAATACCAAACATTTTTTTTTAAATCCGGGTTGCTCATGTACAGACACCCGATAGCCATGGAAATCAGTTTTCTATCCATTCTTCCAAAACCTCTGTACCTCAATTAACTCAACAAGCGTTTGCTTAAAGTTCTAAGCAGATGCCAGCCTTGCAACATTCCGGCGACGGATAGTGCGCATCTGATACATAGGGTATTCAGAGTAAATTGAGAGAAAATTAGTGCCGCCTCTATATAAGCTGCATCGAAATAAAAACATATTTTTGAATCGCATTTTTTGCGTGTGCGAACAGGGACATAATAAAATCTATATTTGTTAAGTGCCACTGTTTATGATCACAGCTTCAATTCGGGGTCTACACCGGTCGTAAATTATTTTAAGAATATCTTGTTTCAAATTTAGAAGTAATTTTTTAATAGTAACCAGGATGAAAACTGTACCTGAAATCCCGTGTAAAAATGTCGAAAATAGAAAATTAATCGATCTTCTACTTTGTCTCATGAAGGTCTTCGAATACTTCGAAAGCGTCGTAGAAACTGGCAATGTTAAAGGCCATCGATCTATGGAAATCAAGGGGAAATTTATTTGGTGCGGAAACATTAAGTAATAGGTAATTTTTGCTAATATTACGAACATAGATTTTTTGCTTCCGCTAGGATGTATTGGCGATTCCTTTAATAAAGAACTGGCTCTCTTATTATATCATATGCGGATGAACACATATTGACGAACAGTCCGCTAAAATGGTTTCAGTATATGGATACAGCCCGTAGATAAGCAGTGACTTCCGCAAACTGATTAATTAGAAGGAACAAAATTTAATGCCGTGAAGTACATCCTAGGCTCCAGTTCTGTTCAGTGCGTTAATTCGCAAGTTTTTTTGTTTTAAATTCAGGACCGAAGAGCAAAACCTACAGGCATTTACATTGGGGCAATCTTGTTCGACCCACGGGAACAGAAACTACATCTTTCAATGGAAATGAAAACATTCGTATCACTTTTCTACTGGAGCGATTTTACGATATTTTAAGAATATGTTATTCAATTGAATTTTAAAGTTAATTTCTATGCAATAGATAACTTGTAAAATGATGCTAAATTTTCATTTCGAACATGCCTTTTATACATATACTTCGTGGATTTCTAAATAATTAGAAACACAAGACCTTTAATTATCCTTTAGTAATTAAGATCTCGAGAACTAGACAATTGCTACGACGGTTATTGTATTAGGGATGTCAACATATATCGTCAAAATAAGCAAAATGTAACATAATCAGACACAAACGAACCTGTTAATCGGTAGGGTACCCTTGTAGGTCAAAGCATTATTACAGCTTATTTATATGTGCCAAAAAAACCAATGATTTTTTATATTGTTCATTTCTTGTCAAACCCAATCCAAGACACTCCCGACTTGGAGCTTTTTACAGCTGGTTGAATCAGAATAATGGGCGAAACTTTGAAATATGTTATGTGTCTATTTTAGATATAGAAAGGTTTTTTTCTTATTATATGTAGAATATATATCTAAGATACATAATGTTTATTTATCTTTGAAGGTGCAAGTTCAACAACATTTAAGAAATCTAAAAGAACATAACAACAAAATATATATGAGTAATATATCACATCCATCAATATCAATGAGTATCAGTCATTCATATACCCCCTGAATCGTAACATTTATAGGCTTAATAGCTTACGACATAAGTGCTAAGTCTGCAGTTGAATCGAGGTGCCATGCACCCTAGGCGAAAGCACAGAAGGGAACCTATTTGCATAGTTATCACAGTTTTTCTTGCATCAACTTTAAATCCGCCTTTCGTGAGATTCATGAGGGGCCCATACATAATTCAAGGTAAAAGCGTAGATCGCAAAACGAATAAGAACGTGACGATTTTTTTGTTTCAGTTTCTTTCTGTCATTAACTTTCATCAGCCTCGTTGGCACGTATTCCGGCGAATTCCTGCTCAAATTTGCCAAGACGCTTGGAAGAGAACTCGCTTGTTGGGTGTCCAAAGCATGATCCTATATTTTCTATGAGAATCCCGGTATCGGCAAAGAGGTACACTAGCCAGTTTCTTGCCGTACTATGAAGGCCCACAGCACGTTTCAAGGAAAGGCCCCCACTCGGTTGAACAGTTCGAGATTCCCTACTGTAAATTCCTCTTAAAGTTATATTTATCTCATGAGTCGCTACAAACGCCGTCAGGTTGAATAAGCGGAGCGTGGTCGCAGAGAAGAGGCAATTTGTGGTCCTGAACACATGATAAAATTAGCACTTCTCGGCCTTTCTTTTGTAATTTATGAGCTAAGGTTGCCACACTTAAAACGGATGATTAGTCTGAGCTACAGGAACCTATTCATATATTGAAGGTAAGATGAGGAAGACGTATTATCAGCCGCCATTCTGTCTTCCCTCTTGAATTTAACATTCTCCATCTTATGCAGGTTGATCCTTAATATGCTAATCCCGTTGCTACCATATAAAATCTAGCCAGGGAATTTGATAGAATTGTGGTTAACCGAGTCATCCAAGACCGAAAAAATAAGGTCGAAAGATAACTTTAACCAGGTTCCTTCGGCCCTTGATTCTACTAAAAAGATATTTTAGAAGAACTAAAAACAAAAAGGGACTCAAATTATCACATTATATGTCATTCTGGAAAAAGGAGGTAGCTTCACTCTTATTTCATCTAGGCTCACAGCCAGCATGGTGAACACGTTTCCTGATACATCCAAATGCAAAGAACCAGATATGTGGGCGCAGAATCGGATATGTTTTTGAAATCAACAAGCACTGCGTACAAAGCCGCTATACTGTTGAGCACATTTTTAATATGAGCCAGCAGGGCACTGTATGCTATTTCCATCAAATGCTTCTTCTAAAATCTAACTTGTTTCTCTGGGGCAGTTTTTGTGCTTCCTAAGTTATTGGTACACAGCTTGTAACATACACCCTTCTTAGTGATTTCGCGCCATAACTGGCGAAGTTAGCTCAGTTTTGAAAATCATCAATAGTGAGCAATTTCTTCACTGAGCCGGTATGCTGACGTTCGTTAAAGAGTGCTATACAACAACGCGTTGAGACGGCGACGCTGGTATACATCCGCTTTCTTCTAACGAGTTATTCATTCCAAAGAAACGAACTTTATCTCGGGTAACGTTCGTTGCAGACACATTATTAACTGAGATTCCAACGTGGTCCTAAAACACTGCTACTAAGCTGGAGTTTATTACCCAACAACTAAAGACCGCAAGCGAGTCTTGGAGCTGAGTTCCTAATGTTAATTTAATCGATTTTGGTAAAAAGGGGTTTGTACACAGCGTACACGTAGTAGACGAATAAGCTAAAGGTTCAAGTCATCAACTAGTTAAAGTTATCGACTGTTAATATAATTACGCAATTAAAAAGCCTGTCTTGGCGAATTCAGAGTTTGAGGTTTCTAATAACAGCAATGTCATCAAATGATAATTCGCTGACAGCGTGAAAGTTAGTGTCTATTTTCATTGTTTTGAAACTCCATATTTCTGTATTTAGGTTACTTTTGTTAACCGTTTCACAGGGTTCCCATTTAAAGACTCGGTTACCTTTCTAAGTACTTGAGTATTTTTTTTTAATTTAAACAAGACTGAGATAGCCATGCTTATACACTTTTATGGGCTCGAAGAATCTCACTGATTAATGAACCAGCAAAATCAAATTAGAAATGACAATTGCTCAAAATATCTGTGGTCTATTTGGCCATTTTTTGATGCTATCATAATTAGACAAATCCGCGCGTGCTGAACGATTACAGGTTTGGGAAATAGAAGACACTGTATGGACTTCACATTGACTAGCTGATGCCAGAATTCATTATATGTTTGTGTTGAAACATCACTTGAGTGACTGTTCAATTTTTTACGCTTACACCTGCTTCCTGACGTAAAGTCTGCTTCATGGAATAACTAGCTATGAGAATATAGAGAATATAGGCTTGTACATTCACGTCTAGTTCTATTTCCATATTAAAGAGCAAACCACGATTAGTAAAGACTAAGATCTCTTAAGCTATAAAGAAAACATTAAGTCGCTCAATATAATAAAACATAAATATTGTAAAACACTATGCCGTGATCAGTCTATTGAGTATATCAGCTGGTATTTTAGTTTTAGAAACAACAAATATGAATAAAGGCGTAGCCATACACTAACAAAGCCACAGGTTGGCTGGTTCAAGCCACGTGTGTCATTAATTAAAGACAATGCTCTTCCACTTTGTTTTTGAAAGTGTTACCTGATGTCCCTTAATATTGTCTGTTTTTGAATAAGCTGAATAAGTTTCTGATTCCACTTTTTTAGTCATTGTAAATTAATAGTTTATAGGGCACTGGGAAAGTTACGTATTCTTGTAGCATTTAGAAGGCTTACCCAACGCGCCATGGAAGCACGATGCGAAATGTTAAAAAAAAACTACGCAAATCTGTGGAGCAGCTTTATGTAACATGTTGAACTTTTTATAGGTTAATTTACATAACTAGTAAACACACGCGAACTTCTACATGTAGTTAGGCTATATTCGTATCTTATAATTATGAACTTCTTTTAATGAATAAAGGTCTGATCCTTGCCCAGGCTGTTAGGTCGCTCTGCAAATAGTTATGTCAAATGTACTATCTTTATAATTTATTGCTTGTCTTAATTTTTTTTGCGCTGTTTTATCTTTTCTGCAATGCTTACAATTTAGTTGAACGCTTTACTGTAGTTTTCTGTCAGATCAAAACATAGATTTGCAGCAGCTGAAATAGATTTCAGTGTCTTAAATTTCGATTTGAGCCACAAACCGCACCCTGCATGACCGCTAGAAGCGAAGGAATTCAGATTTTATTCCGTGAAAATTTTGAAACCCCCGAGAAGACCTCCATATGCTAACCTCAAACGATTTAGTTGGCTTCAAAAAAAGCTGATTATCAACTTCTTACAAGCGCAATGAAACGGTGAACAGCCCAGCAAATTAACAAAGAAGACCTTGGAGCTTCTTGCATTACGATGCTAGATTTCGGGCGGCTTTGTTAAACTGGGAATTCTGACAAACCATGAATGCGAATATATTTGGTACCCGGTTTATAACACAGACCTTGCTCCATCGATTACAGCTACAAAGTTATGCATCACTGTTTAAGAAAATGAATCGAGACAAGAAACAGAAATTCAAAATTCGGTCTGCCGAACTGTTTGCTGAGAAATCACTTGATTATCCGAACTATAAAAAATATCCAGAGATTAAATAAGTAGTAAGTACAGTTAAAGTAGGGCAGACTAATCAATCCAAAGGTTAGCAGCGTCTAAAGTGAGTTGGCAAATCAAAATCACTGTACGGTCGACCTTCAAGTGCTTATTTCCTTAATTTCCTATATATGGTCAGCAGTATATAATCTGTATGTTCTTTATTTCAGATCTACAGAAAACATTTGATATTGAATGGAATCAAGGCTACATTAAGCTAGAAGGGTGGAATCAGAGCGCATCAAATGACGCCATCTTAGCCTACAAACTTCTGTTACAAACTGGACGAACTGATAACCCGGTCGATAAGAGACTACTCACCTCAAACAGACTGGTAAAAGAAGACGGTATAATTAATCCAAAAGCGTTCTACCACTACCTTACAGCTTGGTATAACAAAGATCCGCTCATGTATAGTTCGTCCCAGGTACGTACATTGAAGTATTAATAATAATAGCAATCATATATTTCCAATAACTTCGATAATTTATTGATATATATTGAATAGTAGTTACGGTAATTTATATGTTAATAGTGCTCTATTATATAATTTACATATTCGGTAACACTGATTCTTGCGTGTCAGTCGTTACAGTTCGAGGGTTGTACGTTGTCTCAGAAAAACTGTCGATGCTTGATCCTTTTAAAGAGCCTTTTTCGCAATAACAGTGCGTAATTTTCCACAAAATTCATTTGAATATAAACTCTTTTCTTTTGCATGGGTGGCAGAAAACATTACGCCGCATCTAGAAAATATTTTGTTGAAAATGGTAAAAAGAGGTCTTGCAGAAAGAAAAACTTTACCAAGTTTTATTTTTTTAAACCTTACAGGCGTCCCTGGTGCCCCAGCCCAAGCAATGGGATGATATTCCTCGTGCGCAAGAATTAAAAATACCCAAGTCGTCGGCTATACAATTTGCCCAACTTCCGTTTTACTTACGTGATCTAAATTCGACTCGCGAGATCACCGCAACGATTTCTCAACTTCGCTTAATTTGCGCGAGGTTCGAGGAACGCGGCTTGCCAAACTTTCCGACAGGACTACCTTTTCTTTACTGGGAGCAGTATCTACATTTGCGTTTCTATTTGGGCGTGGCGACAACACTTATTTTAGTAACAGTGTTCATCGTTATTTCATCTGTTCTCCTTAATCTGTGGTCAGCACTGCTTATTGTATTTGTGCTTGCTGCGTGTGTTGTTCAGGCGCTAGGAACTCTGCATATCCTAGGTATGTCTTTAAGCGCAGTTCCTGCAGTCCTCATAGTAATTAGTGTTGGCATGGGAGTAAACACGACACTTCATCTTACTATCGGCTATTTGACTGCCCTTGGTGGGAGGACACGTCGTATTAGCATGGCACTCGAGTACATGAGTACGCCTATTATACATGCTACGGTCACTACGCTTCTTGGAGTTGCTATGCTGCTATTCTCGGAGTTCGATTTTGTCGTCAAGTAAGTCGCCACCTTTAGACTTGACTCGGAAGGAGTATCCAGAATCATAATAGCTGATAGAGAATAACAGAAAATTCAAATACGAGATCTCATCTTTATCTGTGTTTTCTTTAACATTTGATGAGTTGTAGATGCAGTTGACACTTAGAAAGTAAATCAATCTTCAGGTCTCTATTAACAAGCATCATACGTATTATTATATGTATTTATTTAATTAACGTTTGTATCGCTTTTATTGCAGCTACCATTTAACGTGTATCTTACTTTCTTGGTCCTTTTTGATGTGTTGTCAGGAGCAGTCGTAATTAGGATATACGCTAAGCGTTAAAATCGTTTTATTCCAACATTAGCTTATTAACTCGGTGAAGGTGTCTGAAAACGATCTGTCTCAGCGGTTCCCTAGGGACATCATGGAGAGCAGAACTTAAATGAATACCCATTCCTTTTTTTATTTATTCTTAAGAATTTTTTTCCAAGCGTTTTTTTAAGCCAGTAGTAGCGGAAGTCTTTACATAGCTATGTAAGGGCTCTTCAGTATAATATAGTACGTTTCAAAAAACCCTTTTCCACCATAGGATCCTTTTCTAATAATATTGTTACTGGAAACGGTGGGCATAATTTCTGTGTAACTAGAAAATAGAAAGACCCGGATATTGCTTAAAATAAAATATAAATGATTACAACGTTGTCATTCAGACCATTCAGTCTTAATGTTCGTAGCATGACAATACTCTAAGAACGGTATGAATAGACCGTAAGAATAGAATCACGGATAGAAAGGCTAACCACCAGAGCCTTCGTGCTCCATATTCGAGGTGATGTGTATTTTAGTTGATACGTCATGTGTAATATAACTGTATTTGTCATAATTTCCAATATACGCATTATACGTGTTAACAAGGAGGGTTTGGTGCTTGCACTGTAATTTCAGGCATTTCTCTCACTTGCTGTCAGCCATTGTGGTAATCCACGCATATAATGGATTCGTAGTCCTGCCCGTGCTTTTAACATACATTGGTCCTAGTGGCGACTTAGTGCCTCACAATAATCGAGACAAGCTTGAATTCCCGATCCCTCGACCTTCGCCAGCCCTTAAATCCCGAACATCTACCGCCGCCACTCGGCCAAGGTCGCGTTTTCCACATAACGATCGTGGTCGAACTAGCAAGAAGTCTTCTTTTCTTTCGCGCACACAATCTGAATTATCGTTGTCAACTATAACGGAGGAGCCGTCGTCGTATCAAAGTACATCCCCCGAACCTGAAACCTCTCCCGCGAAAATTGTCGTTGAACCTGAGATTACGGTAGAAACAACAACTATAACAAAAACCGCCAGTGGTCTAATAGAAAGTAGAACATCAAGATCTACAGGGAGTAGTAATGGGGGAGAAAATAATCCGAGTCCAACTCCCTCCTCAGCTTCCAGTGGTGTAGAAAGCGGGACAAACAGCCCCACTGTTGTGACTACTACAGATGTAACACCTTATGGCACGAATGTCACCACAAAGGTAACCACAACGGCGAAGGTCAAGGTGGAATTACATGCGCCATTTATGCAACGACTGCACCACAATTTAGATCGCGCAGATCATTGGAACAGAGATCAGTTCAACATTGCCGACCACTGTCGACCACTAAGTCGGCGCAGTTACCGAACCTCTAGTGGAGATATGACTAATACAACTTCATATGATAGGACTGAAAGTAGCGTAAACAGCTCGCTTCCATCCCATCATGCAGCTTATCCGTGTTATTATTCTAGGCGCCGATAGAACATGACGAAAGTTGAACACCTGATGTATATATAACAGTTACTATTTATAAAATCCTTTTTATGTTGAGAAAAAATATTGAGTAAACTGACCAAGATAGTTAATGTCTATGATTAACATCGGTTTCCACAAAAAGGAAGTAAATGAATTCTCAGGCACTGAAAGGCGAAAAGTGTCAACATTGAGCTGTCTGGCGAGATTCATAATGAAAAAGTAGCGTCTCTTAACGTCAACATTGTACTTTGACTCAGAATGTGTAAATATCATGTGTAAAGGCAGTTAGTGGCTATATATATATATATATATATATATAACCACTAACAGTATATATATATATATATATATATATATATATATATATATATGCTGTACTGGTTTATAGTGTGTCATGAATTTTGTATATAAGAGAGAGGGTTGGATGACGTCTTCCCGTGATTCCTAGGATGTAGTAATTTTTAAATATTTTTAACATAATTTTAAAATAAACGAGTTAGGTAAAGAACGAACTACCTCCCTTCCTTAGGAATGACTCACGTAGGTTTCATTATAATTATTAGACAACTTCGTTGCGATTTATTAATTTAGATTCACTATGAAAGGTAATTAATCATTTGTCTTTTTTCTTAAAGATTAATTACTTTTACAAGGGTTGTGGCGATGACAAATGTCAAGTAGGTTATTAACAATGCAGCTTGTAACAATAATATCTAACTGATACTCATTCGAACTGTGCAGAGTCTATTCATAGTTTAATAGATCTGTATATCTAGTCAAATCAATAGGAATGTTGAATCATAATTCAAATTAGATCTAAGATTCATAGAAAAGACCGGCAAAGTGCATTCTTTAGATTAAGGTTTAGAAAGTTGTACAACAAACGGATCAATATTTTTAGCTGAAGTCCAGTAAAATAATTAACCGCTGTTAAATTCTTAATGATTTTCGCTTAGTTCAAAATTTGATATAAACTTGAAAATAAATAGGTTTACAAAAGATATATGCGTTTTTAATTTTATGGCAAATATTAAATCTGTTTGCACAATTTGTGGGCATATCTAGCCAAATAGACCTTTTTGAAGCAAACCGACATGTCACGCCCAAATACAGTAGTGCACACTTTCCTCATAATACCATTTGTACCATGGTACCATAATACCAAGTGTAATTCTAACAATGGTTGCTGTCAAATCGTACACATGTATAGGGCAAAAATTGTAGCATTAGAACTACTGTTACGATTTCCGCCGACTAAACGTTAGGACTTTGCAAAAGGAGTGCATGTTTGTAATGCGTTTCATTCTATTGTAGCTACTGGAACTATTTGATATGACGACCACAGATGTTATAAAGTCTATATATATTAAAATATGTAAAGTTTGTAATTGTATTTTATGCTCTATCGACAGAAGTACGACAACATCTTGACCTTCATAATAGGTACTAGCTTACAATCAACTTTATATTTAGGTGATATAAGTCTTGTATCCCTAAGGATATCATCGCCATACTTCACAACTTGCAATTTTTCAATTTGGGAATGACTGGACTACATACATAATTTCAATTTTTCTCTTAATAAAACGCCAAAGTAGTACTTTACATACTAGGCCACCCAAAGAAATTGGATAATGTGTGTTAACTAGAGGAACTAAGTACTCTAGATAGTCAATAGAAAAAGAAACGAGGCACGCGTTGGGCACAAGGTTTATTCGAAGATATTCAACTCGAACAACATATTACGATCTATTAGTAGCTCATTGCTACATGTGACTAGTGTTGGACGGCCAGTGCTCTCTAATAACCTATCGTGACTGAGTAACAGGCATTAGGACATCTTCTATAGATCTGCAAATACACAAATTGCTATCTGTATACTTGTAGCTCTGTGGAGGCTATCGCTATAGGTATATCTAACAGTGGTATACTTAAATAGTTGTTTATACTTTATCACTAAAATCTAAACCGGATGGACTCATGGCCTCGAAATTAATAATAGACTTCACAATGAATATGGATTGACCACTGGGAGTATACATATGAGATTATTTAAACATAAAAGTGCGCGGTTGGAATGGATATAATCACACCTATTTTGCTGCTCCTTCTAACTCATATCTTTAATCCTCAAAGTTTTAAAAATTGTGAAGCTTATGAGTAATTGAATCTAATATTCTATTACCAAAAACGTACTTATAGAATAAAACAGGTTTTATTAATTCATTCTTAAAGGATTTACGTTCTGAAAATGTTTAGTGTGTCTGTTTACTAATCTAACAAACAAACCGGGCATCTATTTTATCAAGTCACCATTGCCACAAGTAATTCAAAACAGATTATTTTACGTGTAAATGACTCTGAATTAGCCCTATATTATTGATTGTAAGTTTGTGGCAAAAGACTTGCTTTTTTAAAACACCGCCATTCTATGTCTAATAATTGCTCCGCTTTGTATATACTCAAGACGTCGTCTGCCGGTAGTTTGTCGAAGCTTAGGCTATTAGTCTACAATTATTTTTAATATGTTTGGCATGGAAAGGCAGCTGCCAACGACGCTATCAAGCCTCTGAGTATGCGAGGCCCTACCACATAACCACCAACGGCGCGCCATGCAAAGTGCTCTCCTGTTTTAGTTCGCGAAAGTAAAAAAGACGACGACCCTGACCATCCACTGGATGAAAATAGTTCGCAACAGCAACCGGCAGAAGACAAGAATCAACACTTCTGATCTCTGTATCTGGTGGGTTATCACTGGTTACGTATTTTTCAAGATGAAGGACACAGTCTACGATGTAGATTTATTGACTCGGCACCGGACTTCACTATAAGGATCTCCGCGTTTCATCTCAAGCAGCTTTCCAAAATCTTTCCCGGTTGCCAAGGTTTCGCGGGCTTTCTCTATAACAAATGATCATGGCTTCGCCCACTACTGCACATCTCCAAAGCCGATCATTGCAGAAACAGATATTGTCTTTTAAAAAAGTCTCAGAATTTACTGATTACTCTTTCAAGATGAGTGATCGTGAAAAACGTAGTAGCGGAAGATTAAAGCGTGTGAAGTTGACAGTCGGTAGAAAAGGTGCGCTGTAATGGCTGAGGCAATAGCGGAGTTGGTAGCATAAGGTGCCTTGCATTACCGCATTCTCGGATATGATATCCCCGGCAACACTTTTACGGAGATCTTTGTTTTTGACAGTATAAGAATCGTGTGCAAGTTACAAATTTGTTGACGTACAGGTTTTCTCAAAGCGAAGGACCGAAGACATGAAAGCGAGTTAGTGACCTGAAACTCACCAAAGTCTAAACGCAAATCATACAGGATATTAATTTAATCATGAAGAATGCTGGCCATGAACTGGGATATCAAATCATCAAAGGCTTAATGAAAAAAAGAAAGATGGCTTAAAGGAAAGGAAGAAGAATATAACCAATACCAGCCGAGGAGACGTATGCGGAGAATTTGTGACTACGAGGACAAGCGCGCCAGTTTTGTAACTTTTGTAGTTAAGGCCATAGAATTTTTTCTTATTTGAGTTTCGAAGTTCAATCATAATTTTTTTATTTTAGCCGCTGGTCTTTCCTAAAACCATTAACAGTTTGGCGCCCTAGAAGGTATGAGTTATAAACGGAATACTTAAGTTTTAGTAGGTAATCGACTACGATGGTGTTGAATAAAACTAGACTTTAAAGCTGTTTGTCCTTTATTATAAGGGTTTGAGCGTTTTCGCAATAAATAATGCGGCAGGTTCCCTTTTGGCTAGGTATCGCGAAGGTAGCCGACTTAAGAATAGCTACTAGCTTTAAGTACACGCCTCGTAAAAAGGCCACTGTAGAGGGCTTTTTGTTTTTGAGGAGAAGTTAATATGCACCTGCCATTTACGTATGTCGAGCCTCGCTTCTAACTATTTGTCATGGTAGCGTAAGACTTTAGTCAATCTCAGTTGCTAACGCAGAAGCTATTAAATGCACATTTTCTTTTGTTGTTGATCCTTTGTCGATACTTATTTTAATATAATTTAATATAAGATCGAATTCTTTTCTCATTCAAAACAGGGCCGGAAAAGTCCAACGTTTTTCTGTTCCTATTTCTTCAAGCTTTATTGTTTTCGTCACGTACTCAGAATTACTGCTAAATTCCTTTTATTCTAAAACAACAAGTTCACGTTTGACCGCTTTCACGTCAATCCTAAATAATTCTTTAGTTTTCTTCTAGCTTCTGTTCTTCGTCTTTTTAGGTGGTAGATTCAGCGGATGTCCGCTCATCCAATCTACTACATTTCCGAAAGTTGTGTTTGCTTTGGTCTCTACTTTAATTGGAGACGACAAGTCATCCGCATAGGCCGCTCAATTTGGCATAATTAGTTAAAGCACTCTCGCTTCATAGGCAAAGTCCTACAGAAACAGTCTCAGGATAGCATACTCGTGCACCCGTGCCATCGGCCTGTATATAGTGTTACATACTGCTTGATAGTGTATTTCCGTCACCTTAAGAATGTACGATTACGTCCCAGTTCACTATGTTGAAGCCATCCCTACAGATATTACTAGTTTTCGCCGTTTTCGTTCCTCCCTCTTAGGTGTGCTTCAGTACCAACTCTATGGCCAATATTCGATTAACCTTCAAAAATATAAATTGAGTTCCTCTTAATGCTTCCTTTAACTCGATTTCGCTAATTGACTGTTCTATGATAACGGGGTTTGCAACGCGGTTCGCGTTGCAGTAAAGGAACAGAGTGTCCTGTATGAACACGTTTGTGGAATAAACTGGCCAGTCAAGCCTTGCTTAGTTTCTTAGAAAAATAGCTTTTTTTAAGCAACTACTAAGTTCTCCGTTACCTTTCTCTACCTTCTTTGGAGCCTTCCTTTACCTTCTCCTGGGTTTTCCGTTACCTTCGCTACCTACTCCTTTGTCAGCTCTGTAATCTCCTGAACCTGAGTCGTTTCCTCTTTCTTTCGTCTTTAATGCACTGATGACTATACTCTGTATTTCTGATCAGTTTGTTTGGGAGATTACACTGCGCTCCATATAACTTACTTGGACTGACTATCATATATGCTTCTTTACACGGATCTCTGTTTACTTCCTTAAAAATCTCTTACAACTCCTTCTTTTTGTTTCACTTTACCATTGCACGCAGTTTAGTTCTAACTTTTTGAAGTTTGCTGCCCTTCTCCATTGAAGCCTTTTTCTGGTACCTTTACGTGCTTCTCTGGCTACGTTGTAGGCTTTTCTGACATTTGAAAGCTTCTTTGTCTACAAATACCTAAGCCTTCGTGAATTGATCAGGAGATGCGTTAATGCTTCCCAGTACTTTATGCTTAAAGCTGCAATCTAAGGTACATTCTTTCTGATCGTTCTTTTTTCAGCGATTAACTGCGACCTGATATGCTGGTGAAGAACCGAACGAAGTCTAGGCTCTTACGAAAGACACTCGTGTTTGAATATAAAGTGCACGATGTATTTCGCACATGTGAATTGATCATGGCATATGAGGTGCACTTCGTAAAAAATGTTTAATTAACTTGTGCCATGATAGTTTCAACACTTACTTGTGCAGAATCTTTAGATCAATTTGTTTCTTTCATTACAAAGGATTTGTTTAACGGAGCACATGACCAGCTTAAGGAAACTTCCGGAACCAAAAGAAATCCTTCCATCAATCATAGCACCAGAATCATAGTATGCACCTTACTGCTACCACTGTGAGGAAAAATCAGGTGGATTATTCTTACTAGGGCAGTATCTCCATTTTGGTCCTGGTGGAGTGTTAGATATATATTGAAGAACCGTCGAGACAAATTTTCTTCAATGTTGCATCCAGTAGGTTAATCCAGTGTAAGAGAGATTACTGAATCTCCTTATAGTATTACCGAATGTATAATATATATATATTATACTGTATAATAATAATCGGCTAACCAAACTGCAACTGCTACCGTTATTAATTTTAGGTACGGGATTGTTATCGATTCATGTAAGCACACGTATCTTCAATACCATTGACTAGTGTCCAAGTAAACGCTTTCAAATAATTACAACCTTCACAAGATTATCTTCGCATATTTAAAAGATGTGGAACCCTCAAATACCGCCACGTGTTGTATAGCGCCGTAAAGCCTTGACATATCTAAAGTAGCATAATAATGTAATTCGCTTTGCCAGTTGAGGAACAATTTCCATATTATCACTGGCAATTATTCTTCCCACTTGATGTAAATATAAATCTTAGCTTCCGTTAAAATCACGATATGCCGTCTGCATATCAGAGATTTTGTCTGGTAGCTTAATTAAGGTCAGGGCGATGGTCTTTACTATTAATTTGACAACGTTAACGACGAGAGAAAGAATGATGCCACTTTTTT